CGGGGGAGCCCATGCGGCGCCGGGCGGCGGCGGCTGCGGCGTCCCCGCGCTGAGCCGGGCCGGGCGGTAGCCAGCCGGGCGGGCGGCCCCAGCCATGCAGCCCGGCGCGCCCGCGGGCACATGGGGCAGTGCTTGAACCGCTGCCTCGATGTGCCCGGCGCGCTCCCGCCGCCGCTGCTGCCGCTGAAGCGGAGGCTGCTGCTGCTCTCCATCATGCTCTTCCTCTGGGTCTACATGTTCTACTCGTGCGCCGGCTCCTGCGCGGCGCTGCCCGGGCTGGCGCCCCGCGGCTCTGCCCCGCCGGAGGAGAGCGGTCCCGGGGAAACGCGGGCAGCGCCCGCCGCGCTCAGCCCCATCTCCGCCTTCCTCAACGGCTCGGGCAGCAAGCGGCTGCCGCAGGCCATCATCATCGGCGTGAAGAAGGGCGGCACGCGGGCGCTGCTGGAGTTCCTGCGGGTGCACCCCGACGTGCGCGCCGTCGGCGCCGAGCCCCATTTCTTCGACCGCAACTACGAGCGGGGCCTCGCCTGGTACAGGTACGGGGCGGGGATGGGGGGAGCGGTTCCGGATACCCTTAAAAAAAAACGAAAAATGACCCCCCAAACCCGATTAGTTCCTGTCAAGCCTCCGCCAGGAGTGCGCTGTCCGAGGCGGTGCGCGAGGCGGCCGGGCGGCTGCGGGCTTCGCGCTGAGCAAAGCGCACGTCATCTGGAAATAGAGTTAAATATTAATTTTTCCTTCCCCAGCTCTCTCTCCGTGCGGTGATTTTTTAATCCCTTGCGCCGGAGCTCCGGCCGCGCTCGGACCGGGGCAGCGCTGCCGGGGCGGGGCGGTCCCCGTTCGCTGCGCTGCCTTGGCTTATTCCGAGATGAGAATTCGCTCTGGATCGCGGGTTTCAGCAGAAACCCTACCAAAAAAAAATAATATATATGTGTACATATATATATATATATAAATAAAAAGGAGGGAGCAGAGGAGAGGAAATAAAAGGGTTACATAGCGAGAAACGCGCGAGGCGCTGATTAAAAGTTGAAAATTGGATCAGAGCGGCGGCCGCACGGGCACCGCATCCCCCTGAGCTCGGAGCGCTCGGGGCCGATCCGTGCGGTACCAAAGCAGCCCGGGGCCGGCGGGTACAGCGGCGGAGTTAGGAGCTGTAACAGCCCTGCAGCCCGTCCTCCTACCCGGATCGCTGGATGGGATTTTGATGCCGCCATCCCGTCCCGAAGGGGATGCGGGATGGGATCCGGCGGTTTCGTGCAGTGGGTTTCTGAGGTTTGAGCGGAGGATGCGGCGTCCCACGGCCACGGGGTGAGACTGATATCCCATCAAATATTAACTTGGCGTTTGGGAAGGAGAACCTGCATATTGCAGAGTGGAGGAGCTGTCAGGATTTATTAGCAAGACGGCGTTGTAGGTGTTGAACTGTGTTTTTAATTAGGCGCCTAAATTAGACCATAAAATGGTTGATTAATCTTTTACAAGGAAGAGGTGGAAGGGGGGAGAAGGAGAGAATAAAGCTTATGATTGCACCAATCTGTTGTCTCAGCACGGGGGGTGGCAGTCGGTATCAAAGGGACACACGGAGTTTTTAACATTTAGAGGAGCTGTCATCAAACTTGGGTTCAACTTCTCCCATGCTTTCTTCTTATCAGCTGCTCCATTTCCAGCCAAATGGGCCCTACCCCTGTGAGCACACTGCTGGGGGGCTGAGCTGGGGTTTTTTGCTCTTTTAGCTGAGTTCTGGGCAGCTCTGGGTGGCTGCAGAGTCCCAAGGTGGCTCTTGGGAGACTGTAACCCGAATGGGTTGAGGAATGCAAAATTGTGCTCAGTGCACTGAGGAGAATGGTAATATTTGCCCAAATAATGGCTGGGTGCTTTGCAAATTCTGCCTTATTTCTGAGTTGGGTTTGAATGAGACGCAGGAATTGGGCGGGATGAATTTCGGTGTTACAAATCAGATCCTGCATAACTGCAGACTGCCCTGAACCTCAATGCGTTTTGGTTTCTCAGCGCTCCACAGGAGCGTGCTTATTGCCACGAGCCCCACTGAGGCTTTTATTTATTATCTGAACATCAATAAGGAGAAGCGTTTCTGTTTGCTTGTTAACGGCCCCATAAAAGCAGATAAAACCCGCTGTAAAATATCTGCCTTGCTGAGCAGGGTGTGCCTCAGCTCTGCTGCTCGGGGGCTTTTGCAAGTTCTCCGTGGGGCCGTTCTGTGCCGCAGCGCCCATCGCTGCCACTTCAACCCATCGCCATTGGGACCATGGGGACACAACTCTTGGCTGCTGGAAGGAGATTTTATTCCCGTGGATCTGAGCTGATCAGGTTGGATCTGGGAGTTTTGCTTTGGTTTGGTTGGGCTTTTTTTTCCTTTCCTTTCCTTTCCTTTTTTTTTTTTTTTTTTCAGTTTCTTCCTGCCGTGCAATGCCATCTTCCAATGGAAACTTTGTGCAGATTGATGAGAGGCAGAAGTCGTGGCAGTTTTGCTTGTTTTGCTTTGATGAGAGCTTAAATTTCGGGTGTATTTGTGATTAATTTTACCAATCTCAGTGCTGTGCCGTGCAGGAAGGTCCTGCACACAGCGAGGAACTCAGGAAGGAGGGAGAGCAAACTTTTTCTTGCTCCATTTGTTACATGGAGGCATTTAAATGGAATAAAATACATTTCCCCTTATGCTTGCAGAAGGCAGAACAGCATCAAGTGGTGCCGAGCTGCTAAAAAGCAGAGGGAATAGAGGGAAAAACTCACTAACAGTGAGATAGCTGGGAATCCAATGGAAACAACCCCGTGCGCGTGTTGCGGGGCTCTCCCCGGTAATGAAAGCAACATGTTAACCAGTCCCAGGGAAAATATCCACCATGACAGAGGAGAAATGGGATCCAGCCATGCTGAGAACTAATTGCGAGGAGCACGTGGAATTTTGGGGCGATAAATGAGTTTCCTCAGTCGGGCTGCACCGCGAGCAGCCTGCGGGGAGCTGCTGTGTGCGTGTGGGGTGCTGCTCGTGTGGGGATTGCTTCTTCCCTGGGATACAGGGAAAAATAATTTATATATTAATAAATTTTATATATATATATATAAATAATATATTTTAAATATATATATATATATATATAGATTCCTAAATAATGGTGTGTTTTTAACAGGGCGGGGACTTGAAACCCTTTGGTCCTGTAATTAATGTACGGTAAGGAAACAAAGTCACACTTAGGATTACACATTTTCAGGCTGTTTTTTTGTTGTTTTTTCCCCTTTATTTCTCATGTTGAGCCCCGTGGGCTCAGCCCCGTGCCCTATGGGGCTGCACTGTGCACTCCTGGCCCCGCTGCCCATCGCTGATCTATCTGCTGAGCACTCAGCCTTCACCAGGACCCCATGCCCTGGCTGTGGCTGCTCGAGGAGCCAGGCCGTGTTCTCTTTTTTCCCCCCTCCCCTTTGTGTTTTATGTAATATTTGGATT